CACTGACTGAATGCTGTGCTACCTTGAATTTCCTACACCAGATTAGTTATTCCATCATTTAAATTGAACTTCACACAAAATATCAAAACATGGGCAAAATGTAGACAAGTTCTTTGATAGAATAAAACAAAAAATCTCAAGCCCAATTCCCAATACAGTCTTCATTTCCTTCTAAAATCTCATGAGCATATTCTTCCTTTTTTTAACTTTTATTTACAAATGACAGTGGAATGCATTACAATTCATATTACACATACAGAGCACACTTTTTCATATCTCTGGTTGTATACAAAGTATATTCACACCAATTTGTGTCTTCATACATGTACTTTAAATAATGATGTCCATATAATTCCACCCTCATTTCTAACCCTATGCCCTCTCCCTTCCCTCCTACCCCTCTGTCCTATCTAGAGTTCCTCTATTTGTCCCTTTTTCCCCCTCCCTACACCACTATTAATCAGCCTCTATATATCAGAAAGACCATCCAGCATTTGTTTTTTTGAGGGGGATTAACTAACTTCACTTATCATTATCTTCTCCAACTTCATCCATTTACTGGCAAATGCCATGATTTTATTCTTCTTTATTACAGAGTAATATTCCATGGTGTATATATGCCACATTTTTGGGGTTGTTGTTGATTAATATACTTAATACCATCTAGGTTCTCCAGTTTAGACATTGTGAATCGTGCTGCAATAAACATTGATGTGGTTGTGTCCCTGTACTATGCTGTTTTTAAGTCCTTTGGGTATAGACTGAGGAGAGGGATATCTGGGTCAAACAAATTGTGGTTCCATTCCCAGTTTTCCAAGGAGTCTCCAAACCGTTTTTCATATGGGCTGCACCATTTTGCAGTCCCACCAGCAATGTATGAATGTACCCTTTTCCCCATATCCTCACCAACACTTATTGTTGTTTGTATTCATAATAGCTGCCATTCTGACTGGAGTGAGATGAATACTTAGAGTAGTTTTGATTTGCATTCCTCTAATTCCTAGATATCATGAGCATTTTTTCATGTGTTTTTTAATTGATTGTATATCATCTTCTGAGAGGTGTCTGTTCAGGTCCTTGGTCCATTTATCCTCTTCAACAAATGGTGCTGGGAAAACTGGAAATTGTTGTTGTTATTATTATTATTATTATTATTATTATTGGTATTTAGCTTTTTTGAGTTATTTATATATCCTAGAGATTAGTGCTCTATCTGATGTGTGAGAAGTAAAAATTTGCTCCCAAGAAGTAGACTCTCTATTTACCTCACAGATTGTTTCTTTTGCTGAGAAGAAACTTTTTAGTTTAAATCCAACAGGAGAATATCTCAACATCATAAAGTCTATTTATGCTAAGCCCTAAGCCAACACATTCTAAATGGAGAAAAACTGAAGGCATTCCTTCTAAAAACGGGAACAAGATAGGGATGTCCTCTTTCACCACTTCTATTCAACATAGTTCTTCAAACAATGGCCAGAGCAATTAGACAGATGAAAGAAATCAAAGGGATATGTATAGGAAGAAAAGAACTTAAATTAGCACTATTTGCTGACAATATGATTCTATACTTAGAAGACCCAAAAGTTCTACCAGAAAAATTCTAGAACTAATAAATGAATTCAGCAATGTAGCAAAATATAAAATCAACACCCATAAACCAAATTCATTTCTGTATATCTTTGACAAATCCTCAGAAAGTTTTGGAAACAAGGAAAACTACCCCCATTTACAATAGCCTCAAATAAAATAAAATATTTTGGAATCAACTAAAGAGGTAAAAGATTTATATAAGAACAACTACAAAAAAACTAAAGAAAAAAATCAAATAATACCTTAGAAGATGGAAAGATCTACCATGCTCTTGGATAGGCAGAATTAATATTATCAAAATGACCATACTACCAAAAACACTATACAGATTTAATGCAATGTAAATAAAAATTCCAATGGCATCCCTCATAGAAATAGAAAATGTAGTCCCAAAATTTATCTGGAAAAAAAAAAAAAAACAAGAAACCCAGAATCGGTAAAGCAATCCTTAGCAGGAAGAGTAGATCAATAGTCACAAAAACAGTATGGTATTGGTACCAAAACAGACTGTTAGACCAATTGAACAGAATAGAAGACACAGAGGATCCACAAAACTGCAGTTATCTTATATGACAAAGTTGCTGAAAACATACATTGGAGACATGATATCCTCTTCAACAAATGGTGCTGGGAAAACTGGAAATTCATATGCAACAAAGTGAAATTAAACCCCTATCTCTCACCAGGACAAATCTGAACTCAGAGTGGATCATGAGCATACTCTTCATTTCTATGGGCATTTTGATCTTATGAGTTCCCACCAAAATCAACCATTGAGTACCATTTACATAATTCCAAAGCTTCTCCTGTCTGCATCTCCAAACTTTTCCAAATCCTTCCCCTCAAAAAACAGTTTCAAACACTCCTAAACTACATGATCCACTTAATCATAGCAATAATCCTACTCTCAGGACAAATTGCACTCTCAGGTCAACTTTTTTCTCCTCTGTGACCAAAACACCTGACAATTTAGAGGAGGAGTAGTTTGTTTTGTCTCTTGATCCCAGGTTCTAGTCCATAGTTGAAAGAGTCTATTACTCCAGGCTGAAGGTGAGGCAAAATATCATGAACCAAGGGAGTTATGGAATAAAGATTCTTAACTCATGGCAATCAGGAAGTACAGGGAGAAAGTAAGACTGCAAAGCAGGTTCATCCTTCCAGGGGATGCCTTCGTGAAAAAAATACATTCAGAAACCCTTTACTTGTCTACAGATACCTTCCCATCAGTCCTTACCAACTAAGATAAACTGATCTGATTATAGTTCACATAGTTGATTCATTTTATCTTTGGATATTTCTCGATTAACACAAGAGATTTGGGGGAAGTCCTCAAACCCACATCATTAAAAATCCAATGTAAAATGAGGTTGAATGAGAGAATAAACTGTGGATTTTTAATTGAAAGATAAAAAGGAATTATCATTTTTAAAGGCATATTTAGAACACTAACAATGGAACATATTTACATGTCTAATATATTGGGTTTACACATAGCATGGATTCATGGATTGGTCTTTAAGAAAAATCAAACATTTTATATTGTTAACTCCATTCTAAAATAAATTAGTTTAGTTATAGAAACTAGATAACTTCCATAAATATATTGACCAAAGTTCATTAGAATTATGTACACTATATAAGTTAAGTTGAACTGAAAATATATAAAAACAAGATACATGTTTTAAATTTTTTAGTAGATTAAATATCACCTTTATAACTTTAGAAATATTACAAATGTTTTTATGTGCAATGCTTAAGGCAAGTTCAAGAATACCACAAAGTTTTCACCTACAGTTTTTTTTATTTGAATCTTTGCAATGTTCTCCCTATTGGCAGCTTTGTAACTATAATGTCTCCATTTGGTAAGCAGAAAGTATTTTCTGATTATCACATTTTAACCCCTTGTCTTTAACTACAATAACTTGAGAGATACTGGGTGTTGTGTGTGAATGTAAGTGCACTGTCTGGGAACAAGCGTATACAAATGTGTACACACACATACACACACATACACAGGTAAGTAAGTCAGTAAACGATATAGTTTTCTAGAAAGGAAGGTCAAAACTTTAATAATATTCTCAGAGTAAAAGAAAATTTTAAAAAAATGATTGTACTTAAGATCAAGGTATGAGGCCTTAATTTTGATAGACCCTCATACAAGTACATTTTCTGAAGACTTTATCTGCTCGCATTTTACACACAAATAACACTATATATGGTGTTTTTTCTACACAGTCTGTTTCTACATAATTGTTTTAGTTTGCTTATATTTTCCCTTTTCTTGCCATTTTTTATATTTATTGTTTTACTAACACATTCTCAATCATGCAATAAGACCACATTCAGAAGTAATAATTTTGAGGAAACTCCTCAGTTAGTATGAAGATGAATCAATTGATCCAAAAATATGCTTTTAAAAGAATTTATAAGGGCATCACTGTTAAGATTTTCTAAATGTCATTCCAATTACCTATTATACTTGTATATAGTATCAAATTTTAACTCCCTGAGTGTTTTTAATACTTCTTGGCTTCATCTCTGTCTTACAGCACACTGAAAGTCCTTCCTCAAATGTCTTTTACTTTGAATGAATAGGATACTGAATACCAATCACCTTACTTAAACATGTTTACACAAACCCACAGGATATAAATGAAAATTTAATTTGTATTGATAGTGAAAGAAATTTTCTATTGCCCGGAATGTTTTAAAAGTATTCATGTTTTAATAAAGTTTTGTTACTAATTCATGCAGATTCAGGATCAGAGGAACTGGTGAAGCACTGTGGTTAATCTTGGCAAGGACGTTCCTACATTCCCAAGAACTGTGTGCCTGAGAACAAAGTCAAAGCTGATAAGACTCTCCAAACAGAGTCTCTCCTTGGAGAGCATTGCCATAGCAACCAGACATCCTAAACCTTTGCATAGAAATTTTCCCAGTCACCAAGCCTGCCACAACCATGAAGTCATCAGGGACCCCAATCTCAGACATTGGTCTCCCAATTACTGTCACCACTCTCCACAGTCTTTAATCACTTTTCCCCATGTCTAATTAGCAACAATAAATAGTTTATAAAGAGCAAGTCAGGCAGCAGGCTAAATGGCATATTTGGAACCAGAGCACTAAGAATTCAGTGAGGGTCATGGGTAAGCCACCTGAGAGGTGGGTAAGAGTATATGAATAGACAAGTGAGCCTGACCAGTCAGAATATAGGACAGGTCAAGATTACCTAACAGCCCTTTTTACTCAAATTCGTGCAGGCTTAAATTTCTCATGCTCATGTACCATATCCCTTTCTTAATTATCATAAATCCCATTTTAAATCGTTCTTCTTTCTCTCAAATGCAAAACAAAGTATTTCCTGCTCCTAACATCTAGTGACATAATTTACCCATAATTGTTTCACTTACCTTAGCAAGAATACAAACTCAAACCAGAATGAGGTACCATTTCTCACTTGTTTGACTGGCAAAGAGAAAAAAAAAATTAAAAATCTTGCACTGCAAAATTCTGACAAGGATAAGGATAAATTTTAACTCTCATAACTTGCAGGAGGAAATGCAAAAAATCAGAATTATTTAGGAAAATGACCTAGAGTTTTGTTTTTAAATAAATTTAAACACAGCTGAGGTATTTACCTAGGAGAAAGCAAAGCATCTCAACCTACAGGCTTGTATGCCAATATTACAGAGAGAAATGTTGATTTAGAAACTTGTAATTTCTAAAATCTGAAAATAAATAAAATGTCTCTTGATTTGGGAGTAGGTACTTAGCCAACAAGTCCACACGGTGGATTACTATTTAGGCATTAAAATAATTGGTTTGCTCACATAAGCAACATCATAAATTGTTCTCATATGCATTATGCTAAATGAAAGAAGTCTGATACAAAAGGCTATATCGTTCATCACTCCACCTGCATGACATGCAAGAAAAGACAGTATCAAAGAGACAGAAAATAGACCTATTTTTGCCAGGGGCTAAATGTTGACAAATTTGATTGGCTCAGAAGTGGCACACTGGAAATTTATAAAATGATAATAACACATCATATCTTTTTGGTGGTTGTTACACAACAATATGCATTCATCAGGACTCATAGAACTGTAGCATTTTTAAAGGATAAATTTTATTCCACATTCATTTTACCCTTAAAAACGTATGAATTTTAAAATTTTCATTATATATTATAAGCAGTCACAATAATATATTTGTGCTTTGAAAAATGTAAAGACTTTGTCCAATTCATAAAAAAAATATTAACAAAAGTTCTTTTTTCTAATTTATTAAATATTTCTTCATAAAATCCATCATTATGGTGTCTATGTGAGGTGTCTCCCAGGATCCCCTGTGTTAATGCAAGAATGTTTGGAAGTGTCCTTCTGTCATGATGTTCTGTCTCAAAATTAGACCTAGAACAATGGACTAGAGCATCTATAGACTGAATCTTCTGAAAATATGAGCTCCAAACAAACTTTTTACCTCTAAGTTGTTCTTGTTAGACTTTTTATAGCAATACAAAGCTGACTAACACATCCACACAAGATTTTTAACACACTAAGTTAAAAACTGACCAATGAATTTAATCTATTAACCAGTGATCATACAATAACAATGACCTGAAAACAACTAAAGTATTCTTTCCAAAAGTCTTTCTTTCATAATTTAACATTTTAATATTAGTTTCATATACTGTGTAAAGACAATACAATTATTCCTCAGATAATTTAATTATATTGGGCACTTATAAAAAACTATATGCAATTTTTTTGATTCTTCATAATATATATTTAAATTTGAAAAAAGGAAAAAAATCTATTGGTTAATGACTAGATCATAATCTTCTAATTCTCTAATCACCAAAGTATAGAGATATTATATGTTAATTATCTTTGCTTCCTGGTGCCTGCTCAGTCTGAATCCTAATAATATTGTTATATTCTTCAAAAATTAATTTTATAAGAAATCAATAATTTGGCTATTTAATAACTCTTCTCTATGTATAAGTTTGCATATATTGAAACAAACACAGAGGCACATAAATGACAGCTAGCTAATAAGCTCAACAGAAGACCCGGATGACAGACAGTCCAATAGTTAAATAAATGCACATAGCAAAGTGTAATATTTTAAAGGTCTATAAAATTTCAGTGATTTCCTATGTTGAAAACCATAATTATGAATAAGCAATTTTAACAGAATATGTTTTCTTTTAAATAACTGTGGGGGGGCTGTGTTTATCTGCCCCTATAGTGGATATCCAAATTATATGGATAATATTTTTTATAATGTTTTATCTCTTCCCTGAAGACTAGGACTGTTGTCCACCATTCTCACTTACATGGTAATCTTATTTTTTTTTGAAGTCCAAGTCCACTAATCTGCTGGTAACCAAAGTATGTAAATCTAAAAATTTTCTTAAATATATAGAAAGTGACCTATACACAAATATAAAGGTTTCACAAGTATCTTAAACTAATATATTTAAACTCAAAACCAGGTGTGAATAGGAAAAAGAAATAGGGAAACTATGTTTCTTCTCAATTCTCCATTTCAGGCATAAACAACTCTAAATATTCACATGCCTCCAAGAAATGGCATCGTGGTCCAGTGAACCTATATCCTTCCTCCCTAACAATTTGATCAACAATCAGTCTTAAAAATGTACCATTGTAAATGTAACATTGTAAATGTTTCAATTATTATCACTTCTTCCCATCCACCTGCAACTATTTTGCTTCACCGTAGCCTCTTACTGATCTATTGCAACATCTATCTACACATTATTCTCCTTGCCTCTGTTCTTCATACTAACTATGTACTGTCCATACTGCAGCCACAGTGATTTTTTTTATGACATTCTCTCTGCATGCACTTTTTCTATGACTCCTGTTATATTCTAGCCTCTTAACATTATTACAATGTTTTTCAATATCTGATTCTTCTTTATTTCTCTGAATTACTTACTTTATCTCTCTAAATCAAGGGCCATTCTGTGTTTGTATTCTCCAAAACATCTGTGATATTTTATCTCTTCGTCTTTGCACTCTATTCCATTTTATTTGGTATTTTATTTCTTCTTGTAGTCTAGCAGGTTCACATAAGATAACTAAAATGTCATCATTTATCACATTTCCATAGGCAAATTGCTTCTTCTAAAAGAAGTTTTCAGATACTTTTTTACAGCTTGCATTGACAATGTCATAACTTGTTTTCAATAGTCTAATTATATGCTTGTATCTCCATTGAGTATTGTTTAAAAATTATTCATAATACTTGTTAAAGATGGCAAAGAAGACACTATTCAAAAGTGGAGTTTTGAGGTAAAGTGAAAGTACCAAGCTCAACTTCAAACACAACAATGAAAAGGGAAGCATAGCCAAGGAGCAGGGTGAAAGTAAGGGATGAATAATTATAGGGCAAGCATCAGGAGTAAGGGGAACTCTTGCTAAAATGATTGAACAGTATTCTTGCTAAAGATGGACCAGGGTGATCAGACATTACTGGGGAATGGTGAACGATGAATAAACCAACCACATCTTGAAGGTGAGGAATTCTTGCAAAACTGACTTAGAAAGATTCTTGTTTTCAAAAAGGTTCATGGAGGAGCCTAAATAAAGTTGGGGTAAAGTGAGAATTTTGGTCAGTATAACCATGCATATACATATATGATGCACATTTAATAATGTTCTTTCTGACTTTGATTTTAATAGCAAACACTATATTGCAAACACTATTTTTTTCAAACATGAAGTAAAATCATTGGGATGATTTTTTAAATGTTCTTTCAAATTCCTGTGAATAACACATGAAATGAGGTTGAAAAACATTTTGTCTAAGCTGTGTCACACTGTTCTTGATAAAAATGGAAAAAAGTACCAAATGAAATTACATATAATGGAAACATTATCGTTTACCACTGTAATTACTCTCAGAAAAGCAATTGTGTGCATAAGAAAATAACAGATTGCAAGACATACCTCAATGAGAATAGATTTGAGAATTTCACAGCAAAGCCATGGGCTCTCTGACACTAAAACAGACTGTATTGGAACTGTGAAACGGAAGAGATAAGGCAAACTTTCATATGGGAAA